TCGCTGCTGCCTGTCGTCAGCGGGGGGCGGGCCTGGAGGGGGACAAGGCCCGAGGGTGGGGGACCTGGCCCTGAGGATGGGTGGACCCGGAAGCTGGGCTGGAGTCACCGCCCCTGCGGGGTTTGCCCTCCGGATTGATGTGGTGTCCCACACAGCGGTCGGTCGTGGAACACGTGTTCCCCTTGTCCCACGCCGTGAGCTTCAATCTGGGGACACCCAATCACCCAAGGTGTGATGGGGCGCTGAATTTTCCTTTAGGTTACTAGTAGGAATCCACATCCAAGTCCAGCACTGCGGGAGTGCCAGAGGCAGTTTGCTGAAGAACCAGAAACTGGAACTGCTCAGCCAGCAGGCCCAGATTCAGAAGAAGCAACGGCTTCAGCAGCTCTGAGGGCTCAGGAGCTTGCTGGTGATGTGTGCTCTTCTCTGGCCTGCCCAGGACACAGGCAAGGGTGCTACTTAAGTCAGCTGTGCAGCCCAGGGCTCCTGTATCTGGTGTCTGGGGTTTGGGTCTTTGAGGCGCACGGTGCCCTCTCTCCCCCCATGGGAGCCAGGCTGGGGGTGTCAGTTTGCCCTGGAGGCAGAGGCTGAGGCTGGCAGCTGCACCTCAGTGCTTCTATCCTTGGTGGAGGACATTGCCTTGGACTCTTTAGCCTTTAGCTGGACTTGTGTGAGAAATTGCTGGGATCCAGGCCCTCAGCTCTATTCCTTGGGCCCCTAGTGTGTGGCTGATCTCTTGCACTCCTTTGCATTTGGCTTTTTGGGTAATTATCTAAGAATAATCATAAAAAAACAGAAAAATTCCAAGTGCCATGCCTCCCTTAAAATGAAGGCTGCACACTCAGGCCTGGTTTCACCTTCAGGAAATCTTCGCTGCTTCTGGTTTGTTTGGGGCCCCATTTCTTCTTCTCTGGACCAGAGTGGATTCATTTTTCCAGCTTCTCTGTGATCAGTGGTGTATTTTAGGCCCGAGAGGCTGTGGGCAGGTGCATCCTCAGCCAGCCTGTGTTTACAGGAGGTGAGAGCCGTGGGGATGTTGAGCTACATGGCAGGGACCAGTTCTAATTCTGGCCTAGCGGGATAAAGTCCACCTGTAACAGGCGGCAAGCCCTGCTCTGGGACAGTTTAGGTCTCAACGTCAGGTTAACTGGAGAAAGCAGGAGCAGGTCCAGCAGTGGCCTTGGGGCTGCTGTGTAAAATACACAGCTGAGCTGCTGGTTGTTAATTAAACGAGGCCAACATGGTGTCCAGAGCCTTTTCTTTCTCACCCTCAAGCGGAGGGACTATCACTACCTGCTAACTGGGTCATGCTGTCCCAAAGGGCATTTGGGCTCTCTGCCATGGCCTTGGCTTTGTACAGTTTGGGCTGATGGCTTTCAGCATATGCTGTGGGGGTTTAGAGGGAGGGAGGCTGGTTTCTGAGTCTAGCCAGGCCCAAAGATGGTGAAGTGGTACAGATTGTTCCAAAGCTCTATCCTTTGAAATTGCTCAGCCTTGGAACAAGGTGTTCTAGTCTCCTAAGTGCTTATCTCTCCCACTTAGTCCAGTTCTGCATCTTCTCAAAACACTCTGAGAACAATTTAGGCTTAGCAGAGTGAAACCAACCTGTCCTTCTCATGGGTCAGTGACCATCGCAGGGCCGCATAAAGGACACAGGGTCTTGCTCTGTGAGCTGTCATGAAGCCAAGATCATCCTCATGCCTTTCCCTGAGACTCATGCCTCACGGTGCAGCTGTTAACTACAGCTCACGGGGCAGAAACTACTCACAAGGGGCTTGATGAGTGTCAGCCACCTCCTGCACTGCAGCTTTAGAACACCTGCTGATCAGCCCGTAGGCTTGAAATACAACTCCTGTCCCCTTGTGGTAACTCCTGAGCAAGTCATGGCAGCACAAGCCACAACATGTCACTGACTATGACTAGGTTTCTATTTTATACTGTTGGATTAGTGGAATCCTAATTGAGCCAGTACTGCAATTGTTTCTGAATGTTGGAATAACGGAAGCATCAACTTGTTCCCCTTGGTTTGGGGGAAGAGTGAGGTGGGTTGACGCAGTCCTTCTGCCTTTTGAAGACCCCAAGGAAGTCTTACTTGAGGGCTAGGTTATCTCCTTGGATAAGCCAGGGCTGGGTGAGCTTTCTTTGTGCTAAACCTGGAACAAGATCTCTTCTTTATGAAATAGCCAGTTCAACCGAAGTCTTGTTTTCAGTAGTAGACCTCATGAGAGGGAAAGCACATTATTTCCCAATTTTAAAAGCCTTTAAGGTTGCGTTCCAGGACACTGTGCCACAAATGACCGAACTAAAGGCAAGTCTGCCTCTCATTGTTTACAGGACATTCTGCAAACCATGGGCCCCGAGTACTCAGTGGCCACAGGTGGGGCCCACAGGGACCCTGCTTCTGAGCTGACCTTCCTTGTGTAAACAACAGGTCTTCACTAGTTTGGGCTCAGCAGAGGCTCAAACCAAGGAGTAAAGTATGAATTACAGATAATTCAAAGCCTTGGCCCAAGAATTCTTAATCATGCTAGCAATTTAAGCTCCTAATGATGTATTTGCACTTTATACAATTATTATTGGCAAATCTCATTTGAGGAAAAGAAGGCAACACCAGTAAAAGAAAAAGCATTAAAGAAGAATTCAAGGCCCCTTCCCAGACTGGGTGCTAGGTGTCCCAGAGCTGTAAGAAAGAAGCCTGGCCTCCCCTCCCAGCTCAGGGACTCCTTGCTCATGGTAGCTAAGTTCTGGTCTTTCTTGTATTGTCATGTGGTAGCCCACCTTGCCCCTGTGTCTGTTTTCACCTGGCCTTCTCCAAAAAACACCAGCCTTTAGAGAAAAGGCCCACTTTAATCCACTTGAAACTAATTCCATACTCAAAGAGCCTGGTTCTAAAGTTCCAGGTGAAAATGAATTTTGAAAAAGACTATTCAGCCCCATGTATGGAACTAGCAGGAAGTTTAATTCTATGGCTCAGCCTAAGCAAGAGTTCATGAATTATTAAAATAGCTCAAGTCAAGGAGGCTGACTGTATCTAGTGCTGACAAGGATTCAATTGGAGCCATTACTTACTGGGGGTGGGAATGGTGGTACAGCTACTATGTAAAACCATTTGGAAGTTTTTTCTAAAGTTAAATATACATTAATTATACAATCCAGGAATCCCATTCCTAGGTATTTATTCAAGAGATAGGGAGGAAACAGCCACTGAAAAACATACGCAAATTTTTATAGTAGCTTTATTCATAGTCACCAAAAGGTATAAACAGCTCAAAAGTCCCTCAACTGGTGAATTGATTAATAAGTTGTGGTATATCTAGGAATGGAGTACTATGCAGCAACAAAAGGAAGACAGTATTGAAACCAGCAACCATTTAGATGAGATTGAGAAGCATTTTGGTGAATGAGAGAAGCCAGCCGCATAACTTACCTATGTAGGATTCCATTTATATGACTTCCTAGAAAAGGCAAAGTGATAGGAACAGAAATCAGATTGGTGGCTGCCAGGAGCTGGAGTTTGGCTTCAAAGGGGCACTTACTTGGTTTGTAATAGTGAGTAAGTGACTTAGAGTGTTAGATTCATTAAGCTGCAATGAAAGTGTCTTCTTGTATGGCAGTTATAGCTCAATAAGTAACAGCTACAAAAAAATAAAATGCACTTTGCAGTCTTTCCAAGCCCTCAGGGTTCATGAGTCAGACCTGATGGTGTTGGGCCTGGGAGGCTACATCTGGTGTCTCTGTGCAGCCTGCCGGATGGGGAGTCCTGGGGGCCCAGCTCTGCTTATTTCTAGGTTCTCACTCATAAAGTGACTCTAGAAACCACACAGCAAAATCCCACTCTGTTCCCAGGCTGAGACTTGGTGTCGTCTGCTGAGTAACCCAGTCAGTCCCGGGAGCACCAGTGTGTACAGAAGCAATGTGACCTTCAGTGTGTGGTGTGAGGCCAATTCTCTAAGATGCCTTCTCAGAAGAAGCCAGGCAGGAAACCACATGTGCATTTGTGGTCTCAGGGTGGAAACGCGAAGTCACAACCGAATTCTCCGTTAATCTTGTGACATGTCCCAGCCCTTAGATGCCCGAGCTTGGTGAACCTTACTTTTATTTTGGAAGCTTTGATTTCTCATGGATATTGTTATTCTGTAGAAATATGGTCAGAGTGCAGTGCAGGGAAAATGTCCCACTCCCAGATGCCAAATCATTTCTGCCCTAGGAATTTGCATTTGCAATGGAAACATCTTTTGCAAGCATCTTGCAGCTTAAAGGTGCACAGAGTTCTTGGATTAGTGCTGAGCTCAGAATGTGTGGAACAGGCAGTGACTGCTTTCTGCCACCCCAGTGGCTTTCTAGGTAGGGAGAAGGCAGAGCGTCATGCAGGGAACTCCCTGCCTTTCCTTGGTAGCTACAGTTTCATAATTGGAAATGAATCTCTTTTTCTCACTGGTGATGCCAGCCTGCTACTGCTAGCCCATTACACACACAAGTGACTAAGTCTGTCTGACAGACTCTGGTGAGCAAGGGCTGTTAGGGAGAATGCTGGGAGGCATGCAGGTGGGCACTGTCTTTGTGTGTGTGTGTGTGTGTATGTGTGTGGTACTAGGGTTGGAACACACTAAGGGCGCCTTCACACTAAGCTACCTCCCCAACCCTTTATTATTTTTTTATTTTAAGACAGGGTCTTGCTAAATGGCTGAGTTGACTAGGCTGGACTTGGACTTGGCAATCTTCCTGCCTCAGCTTCCTAGAGTGTTGAGATTGTAGACGTTGTGTACCAGTGTGCCTAGCTCCCGGCGTTATCCTTTCAAGGTGCATAAATGGAGGGAGCAACTCTGAAGAAAACTACAAACATGCGAAGCTAGCACAGAGGTGACCCC